TTTTCGAGGCTCAAGGGTTATGGTCATAGAAAATATGCCAATGTAATTATATGTCAAAGAGGTGTTTTAATATGTATGAAAGACGGGAATACAATCAAAACAAACGTAAAAATCACACATAGTGTCAACAAGATGCGTTCGCAATTGACTTGTAGCAAGCTTGTCAACAAGTTGTAACAATGGCGCCAGACTCCAGTGCTGTTATTTTGTCTAGTTGCTACAATGTTGCCACTTACAACTTGTTGACAAATTGTTGCCAATTGCAGGACGAGAACAAGTTTTTGGAACAACCTATAACAGGTCTGTTGCGCTCAACAACCTTGTAGCAAGTTGTCAACAAGCCCGCCGTTGACAACTTGTCAACAAGCTTGCAACTTGTCAACAAGCTTGGAACAAGCAGTGCGAACACATCCTGTTGACATCTCCGCTGCAGGTTTGTCGCAACTGTGCGTTTTTACGTGCATGTTAAGTATTAACTAACGAGAAAAAAACATATTTTAATGATATTGTACACATCACAATTACAAAACACAATCTGTAGTTCTGATGTGTACAGTATAAGATTTTAGTAAAATAGTGAAGTTATGTGCATGCTTTTAAATATGTTTATAAATGCTTCAATTTTTACTGAAAGATTGTACTTGACGTAGGAATTAATGCATACAAACTCGGCCTCGATCATCTATGAGTTAATTAATTGGTCGCACAATTTCGACCAGTCAGATTGCAGATAAAGCATGCAATACCCAATTTACAATTTCTGCCAATAATAGACAAGTATAGTAATGTAGGTAATGAGTTCAGTACTAGTGGAAATGAATAACAAGCCAGATTATTCCAAAATCACCTCCCAGCTCGCGAAATTTCGGTCTGCGAGCAGAGCTCCCAAGTATAATGAAAGTTTCACGAATTTGTCGGCAGTGTTTATTAAATACATTTAAAATCCTCATTAAAAATTCATAAACCTTGTAGCAAATCATGTCAGCCATAACATGTCATGTGCAGTGACTTTATATCTGATAAAAGTCATGCTTATTAGTATGATTATATAATTGTTCATCCTAATTAGTATTCTTTTGTCGTCGTATTTTAAGCCTGCGCCTCGCGTTTTATATCTGATAAAACACTCCTACGCGTGCTTTAAATAGTACTTATTATATAAAGTTTAGTGCTTTATGTACTATTTAAAAAACGAGCAGGATTGTTTTATTAGGTTTAAAGCCACGAGCGCGCAGCGCGAGTGGCTTTACACCTAATAAAACACGACCTGCGAGTTTTTTAAATGGCTTCAAAAACGTTTGCATAATAAGTCATATCTTGATATAAAAATCTTTATTTAAAAATCTTTTATATAAAAATCTTTATATAGTTTGCATAACAATGGTCTTTTGTTAAAGTGTTCTTTAGCTGGTATAAAGACGTATGTACGTGACTAATTTCTTACTCAAGATTGCATAATTGCTTCATGAATTATTAATGAGTTTTTGAAAGAGATTTCGAGATTTGATCAAACTGATAATTTCACATGTGAGATCATTTATGATAATTTCACATGTGAAAATTGTCGCTCTTCTGTTAAAAATATCGCTTTTCAAATACTGTCCTTTATGTAATAAACAGAAAAATACATGGAATAAATACAGTACAAAAGATACATGCAGTAAAGTCGAGATTATATGAGAACACAGAAGTGAGATATAACAATCCCACCCTCCCGCCCTTTGGGATTACACATGTCTGTTTGTTTCTTTAGGTTGGTTGTTTCAACTTTGATGTGGCTATATATTTTGTATCACATGGAAGTAGACTAGTCAAGATGACTATTTACTTTTATCGTTTACTGTTATAGAATATTTTAAAGGTGCTTGCAAATACCAGATTTATTTCTCGTGTTGAACATGATATCTCACTCGTTCGTTGCGCTCACTCTTGAGATATCATGTTCAACACTCGAAATAAATCTGGTATTTCCGGGCACCCACGTATTATTCTCTATTTATGTTATCAGTGCATCTAAAATATTTAATTTAAAGTGCTCAATAAAACAAGCAACCAAATTTCACACCATTCTTTTATGATAGCATTGTAAAGAAAATTCAAAACGACCAAATAAGATACATTGCCAAACTATCTTTGCTTGCTTCGTTCTTGTGATATTTAACACTTTCTGATATGGAAATTATTCTTACCATGACGTCACATTGCATATTGACTTTCAAAAAGAAACTCGGGATGTTTTGCATCGAAATTATAAAACCGTTCAAATCTGTTATGTCCACATACTAGAATATAAATTATACGCAGACGACAAATTTGAATTCATCAGTTATCTATACAAGTTATCTAATTTCAGAAAGCCATTATACAATGTAACGTCATATAGTGAGGATAAATTTTAAATAATCTCAAGAACAAAGGAAAGGAAGATAGTTTGGCAAAGTATCTTACTATAGTCATTTTGAATTTCCTTTACAATGCAGTTATAAAAAAACTGTGTGAAATTTCGTTGCATAACTTTACATCCGTTCTCAAAATTACGCGACCAAGGACGAAAATGCTAGAGTGTCAACTCTTTGTCATTCGGCGGTCACGAAGTTTAAACTTTGAGTTTTGCGGTTCCTTGTCGATGTATATGCTTTGTATACTTTATATAAACAGGTTTCAATGACTTTCAAGATATTTTAGTGAGAATTATTGCAAAATTTAAGCACAAACAAAATCATAACATCACCGTTATAGTCTAGCGCGCGTGCTTTATACTGATAGCCAAATTCCAGGATAAATTGTTATTTTTCAAACTTTAAAAGTTATTCACGACACATATTTCTGTAGTGATATCGATGGTTTGTATTGTGCTTTAGTTTGTATATCCATGTTATCTAACTCATTTTTGTTCAGTTTTGGTATTAAATACGGCTTAAAATGTCTTTTGACAGTTTTTTTACGTTTCCTATTTTTAGCAGTTTTTGTGACATAAAACTGACATTTGAAGTAAGAGTATTTTTCAGGGAGGTCGCGTAATTTTGAAAATGGGTGTAAGATGGAATACCTGAACCCAAACCAACGAACAACCGGCAAACAATGAATACTATGAAGTTTTTCGGGAACACCACAATTAAGGATGCGATAGTATTAATATACTGCCATATTTGTCTGATAGGTAACCACCAATCAATAGACCAATCAACATGCCAACCCATCCACATGATTGAGCAATCGATAGAAAAATTGAGTCATCACAGATCAGATCATACTGTAACAGGAAGTGACTAGCAATTAATCGGTTAATACCGGATGAATATTAATTTGTTATATACATGATTTTCGAACAGCCAGCGAAAAAAATGCCCGAGATCGCGACATAACTGAGTTTATTGAAGTCACTAGGGTCAAGGGAAGCAAAATTAGTTCGAGATAGCAAGGAATTAACCGAGATCGAGACAATGGAGTAAAAATGATTGAAATAGAGTGGGCAAATCCTCGGGAAGGTCAGGAAGCGGTTTGAGCTCGAGATAGCGGGAAGTTCGAGATAAGCAAGTTCGAAATGGCGGGGTTCTAAAAGAAAGACAGTCTGTGGCTTGAGAACAAATAAGTGCACAAAATATGACCGTTTGTGTGATGCGGCGATGCATATGCCCTAGCTTTTTTATGTCAATACCATAATTACAAGGGACAAGCGTAGATATTGTCTACCTTCTATTATCATCATGCAAATGATCAAATGAGCACGTGCGCACACGTTACCATTTTAGTCGGCCGATTTATATATAGTTTAGGGGCATATATGTTAAAACGATAAAACAGTCAGTGGTATAATTATAATATTTCTAGCGATCTGTCGCCAATTCCTTAGGGCCGTGAATATTCCGTTTAACTATGATTGCATATATATATATATACATATATATATATATATATATATATATATATATATATATATATATATATATATATATATATATATATATATATATATATATATAATAAATAAAATATATATATATATATATATATATATATATATATATATATATATATATATATATATATATATATATATATATATATATATATATAATATATATATATATATATGTATGTAGAGGTTTTTGAGTTGTTTTCAGACGAGTGTATACCTGCATGGCTTTACGCATTGAAGGACTAACCTCCGAAATGCAACTAACATCATAATTTAACACGTTGTTCTCAGCTTGACCTTGTAGCTCAGACGGTAGAGCATCGTTCTAGAAATGCGAAGGTCGCGGGTTCAAATCCCAGCCGCGGTCAAGTAGAATTTTCTGCTTGCCCGGTTTGGTATACACTCGTCTGAAAACCACTCAAAAACCTCTACATAACGCTACACGAGTGGAATCGTATACGTGGGAAACCACAACATTCACATACAACATTGCCAGACTAATTGCTAGCTTTACGCATTGTAGGACTAACCTCCGAAATGCAACTAACATCATAACTTAACACATCGTTCTCAGCTTGACCTTGTAGCTCAGACGGTAGAGCATCGTTCTAGAAATGCGAAGGTCGCGGGTTCGAATCCCAGCCGCGGTCAAGTAGAATTTTCTGCTTGCCCGGTTTGGTTTACACTCGTCTTAAAACAACTCAAAAACCTCTACATAACGTTACACGAGTGGAATCGTAAACGTGGGAAACCACAACATATATATATATATATATATATATATATATATATATATATATATATATATATATATATATATATATATATATATATGGTTTATTAAAAAAATAATAAAAGAAGATACGTTTTAAAAACGTCTACACAAACCTAACCCTGCCCGAAGCGGACTAAAGATCCGGCGCGACTTTTATCCTACCTCAATGTAGGGGACAGGTCGGGCCAGTGTCCAGTTCAATTTGCGATCCGGTCAGACTGGCTTTTATTCAGTACTTGCCTCGCCCAGGACCATTTACTTTGATGTGTTAGAATTGATACCCAGAATTTTGGGTAATCTCCTTACCTCGGTGACAATGGACGTAAAGTCATCCACAAACGTCCAAGCTTCTCTCGGCATTTTACATCTTGCTTTGTAATTATCACTGGTTAATGTTATTGATTTGTTGAATCTACATACGGTATTATTCATATATTCATCAACACATTTCCACTCTGGTTCTGCTGTAATGAACGCTACTATCATTCCATTAAAAGCTGCCGCAGTTAGGAAACAATATCCCATCAAAGTCAAGGTGTACCATTGATATTGGCGAAATTCGCCAATCTTTTTTAATATTTCATCAATCGAGACGGCCATAATAAATGATCAATGGAAGTGTAAGCTAAAAAAAATTCAAGGAAGGCTATATATTTGATAGAATCATGCTTATAATACCAATTCTAATGGCGAGAAGTTAAGGTCAGTTACATGCAATCAATGACAAAGCCTTGGCTGAACAGAACAGAACAGAACAGAACAGAACAGAACAGAACAGAACAGAACAGAACAGAACAGAACAGAACAGAACAGAACAGAACAGAACAGAACAGTGACTTTCTTCAACGACTTTTCCTCATGCCTTAAACATTCAAATATTACCATCTATGCTGATGACACGGTAATCTACGTCGCTGGAGAGGATCTTTTTATTATTGAAACTCGACTTTCGGCCGATATGAAATCAATTGCCGAGTGGTGTGTCCAAAACGAACTTATTCTCAACACTAACGCTGGCAAAACGGAATCGATGCTCTTCGGTACTGCTAAAAACCTGGCACAAAACACGCAAACCTTAAACGTGACCTACAGAGACCAGTTGATTAGATCTACGACAACATATATGTACCTGGGTGTTGAAATCAACCATTCACTGAATATGAACACTAACTTTGATAGTACATATAAGAAAGCTTGTGGAAGACTAAGTTTATTAAGAAAGATAAGACCTTTTCTTAATGTCAAGGTGGCGAAGGCCATCTATCAAGGGATGGTCTTACCAATTTTAACCTACTGTGGCATATTAAACTTAAATTTATGCAGAACCCGTCAAGACAAACTTTTATCAATTCATCGCCGTGCTGTAGGTATAATTGCATCAAAACCTAACCACGAACTTAGGATAAAATCTCCTCATATCTGCAATCAAATTAAAGCATGTGTATTGGTTCGGAAATGTTTAGATGGAAACGTTTGTTCGAATTTTATAAACTATTTTGAAACGCACAAACATAGCACGATGACCCGAAACAACGGATACAAAGCTAAACTGCCAAAAATCCGGTTAGAATATAGCAGAGGATCGTTTTACTACATGGGAGCGAAACTTTATAACAATCTGCCCCTGGATACACGTAAAACTGAAGATTTTAACTCTTTTAATAAGCTCTTAGAAGAAAACTTTTAACATTTTTAACATTTTTACCTTTTATAACTATATGATAATATGTATCTATACATATGTAAACTTCTAATGATTGAATTCCTGTATTTCTAGTATATTTTAAACTTATATAGTGACAGGACCCACATTGATAACAGTTCTTTATTGAACTGACGTGAACATCCTGTATAAATATTCGTTTAATAAATATCAGATCTAAATCAAACAATGCTATTATTGTCTTAAGTTAATTGTGGTCATTTTAAGTGTTCTAATTTCCATTATTTTTTATTTCCTAGAGTGGATATTACAGATAATATCTGCAAGCAACTGAAATTTGTTGTATTTCTTTCTCAGTTGTTGTTGCATTTTAAGACCTGCATGATTTGTCATGAAAGTGACCCTCTTTTGGAAGTGATGCAAGTTGGGACAATGGTGACCATAAAAGGCAGGTGTCGACATCCAAAATGTGAAAAAGACTTCATATCGAAAAGCCAATCATTAATGTCTGGGACAAAAATCGCTGCAGGAAATTCTTTACTCTCATTTGGTATCTTGATGACAGGATTGTCAGCAAGCAAAGTATTGCACATAATTAAGCAAATGGGACTGGCATATATATCATTGTCCACATATTTCAGACACCAATGGGTAAGTATACTTAATAAAAAAACACTAAGTGCACAAAAACAATTCCCTGGTATCACCTGACATGGTCAACTGTGTGTGTATAAATTAATATCATAGCTACCATGACATGAAAAAATCAATTGTAACCTTATTAACGAACATCCGAATAGTCATTTGTATCAAAAAGCAAAGTAATAGCCTTTTCATTCCAACTTCTTCAATTGAATGAAACCATTTTGGTGTCTCCATTAGTGATGAACTGTCCGTCAAGCCTCAATACGGTTTAGTAAAAGTCATTTGGTGCTTACTAAACCTCTCTCAGCTTCCGGGTACATTTACTCACTAATCGACCTGCCATGCTATTACTTATAATAATTTCAATCTGCCAAATCACAAGGGTACACAGTATATAGACTATTTCAAACTTATCGAGGTGACTTTGTATGTTCTTTTATAGAGAATCCTTTTACCCTCCATATATTTACATTGGAAGGAATACCAGCAGAAATTGCTCAATAAGGCAAAAGAAGCTGGCTCTTTGGTTTTGGCAGGGGATGGTTGTCATGATAGCATGGGACATAGTGCAAAATATTGTTCATATACCATATTTAGCTGTACCACATCTCTAATTGTCCATTTTTCCCTAGTTTAGGTAAATTAAAAATAAATCCTAATAAGTGCAAAAGCAATATATTACAAATGACAAGCAAAAGCCCTTCTACAATTATATTAGCTAGAGCACAGTCGTATACACAAGCCGAATGGCCAGGGGCGCTGGAGCCATGGGGGCAGCTGCCCCCCCTGCCCTTTGTTGACGGGGCCAGCTTTGCCCTTTGTTCGTAGAGATTTAATTATTTTACCAGCTGAGCTGAGCGTCACTCGTGATTGTTGGCGTAAGCAAGTTCCTCCAGTGTGCGGTGGCGTTTTGAGCAATTTATCCACGGCACCGAATATTCAACATGTTGAATAATTAATTTCAGTCACGAATGAACATTTCCTCCAAGTGTGCACTTTTTTGCTTCCGGCGCCTCTGCCGATGGCCAGGTAAGAATTAGGATGACCTGCAACAACTATTGTGTACTTGTCCATTATATCTAAATTGAAAACACTTCTTTACTTTTAGAGGAATGAAGCAGGTAGTAGCCCAGCAATGGAATACTTTGCATTTCAGAACTGCATTACATTCTTTTTGGGATGTGTGACATTGTTATGTCAACATTTATATCAGACAGACATGGGTCAATAATAAAACACATGAGGACAAAATTGGCCAATGTGAAACATTACTTTGACTTGTGGCATCTGAAAAAGAGTAAGTAATGTGCAATGGTGATGCATAAATAGGGAAATGTAATACAGGTACTGTAATATCTATAGTACATCATGGTACCTTATATATCAAATTTGAGTAGATAGGCATGTAATGTAATGTAATGTAATGTAATGTTAGGTTCATCTTCAGTGTGATTATTAGTCTATGACTAGATACTTCCATTTTACTTGTCAAGAAGAGAGTGCTACCACTCAATAGGCTGACAACAAATTAATTACAGACATTCAAAAACTTTTTTTCAGAAATAATGAAAGTAATCACAAAAATTTCAAAGGAAAGTGGATGTGATGAACTGGCAGAGTGGATAAAGCCTTGTGGCAGTCATTTGTACTAGAGTGCTTGTTCTACACATGATGGCAAAGGAAAAGTTATTTGTGTTAAGTTCAAATCTTTCCTTAGCCACCGAGTGAACAAGCATGACAATTTAGATGAGCCATTAGCGAGCTTAAGCAAGCAACGTTTTTGACAACACGAACAGCATGAGTAACGTCAAAAGACTGGGTAAAGAATGTTGATTGGTTGATCAGTCAGATTTGCTTCCAGTCAACATTCGTGTTGTCAAAAACGTTGCTTGCTTAAGCTTGCTATCATTCTCCAAATGTGCCCATGGGGCAGACATTTCTCCTCATGCATATCTATTGGAAGGTAGGTTAATTCTACTCTAGTAATTTTGTCAGTGATGTTTCATCTGGCAGTTGTGGTTCAATAAGTGGTTCTATACTTAGGAGTCAACTTGCCCACATCCACGAGAAAGAGAAAACTGCATACAAACTGCCTGTGTGAATAAGGGTTTAAAAAATCTGCATGTGTATCTATCTTTCATTGCCCATGGCCTATTTACAGACAGATTCTCTCAATCTCATAAGCATAACTGAGATTATTTGTAATCATGTGCATACAGCCTACATTGCCTGTTATTGGAAATTTTTATCTTTCAGGCTCAGTTGCTCATGAGAAACTTTGCAAAAACTTTGTAAAAGCAATCCAACAGGCTTCCCCAAGATCCCAAACCAGTTGTCTGGAAGGATTTCATTCTGTATAATACGCCTTACGAAAATATTCTATAGAATATTACATTGAAGTATTCTATAGAATATTCTGTAACATATTCTAAACGATTTTGGAACAGATTCTATGGGATATTCTATGGAATATTCTAAAGAATTCTATGGAATATTCTAAAGAATTCTATATAAGATTCTATAGAATGTTCTATACCATTATTCTAAAGAATATTGGTACATATTCTATGGAATATTCTAAAGAATTCTATAGAATGTTCTATAGAAGACAAAGGTTCTATTTCATATTCTATGGCATATTCAATGGTATATTCAATTGAATTAAATTTAATTATCCATTGAATATACCATAGAATATGAAATAGAACCTTTGTCTTCTATAGAACATTCTATAGAATCTTATATAGAATTCTTTTGAATATTCCATGGAATATCCCATAGACTATTCTTCAAAAATTTGTATACTTAAATAAAACGTTCCACTGAATTCTATTTTTATGAAAGATTCTACTGTATATAATCATAGCAGATTCAAGATTGCTGTTAGTAGTATCAGATGTCGAAACATATTACTAACATAGACATAGATCCATAAAGCCTGCATTTCCATCAAGTTGAAATTAACAGCTGTAAATCACCATGCAGGCTTAAAGATCAAAAGCTCTGTCAAAAATCAATAGTATTTATAGTAAACTCTAGGCCAATCAAACTGTTACAGAATTATTTTATTTCCTTAGGATGGGATATATACATATATACGTCAAAGTTACTGTTCAGAAGATCCTTTCTTTTTCGCTTTTTCAACTTTTAGAACATTGTTGATCCTTGTTGTCATCAATTGTCTCACTTCGGTGTCTTTGTAACCAAATCTTTTTGCACCATACTCTAAATTTAGAAAAGCGAATAACAATCAACTACAGTAAAATAGAATCCAAACTGAGAGAACTTCACCTCAAAGTTAGCCATTTAGGATGCTGACAACAGCTTACATATACTCTTCACCTTTTCTGAGTTGAGGTTTGGCGTCTTTTTCCTTGAATGCGTTGGAAGGTCTTCCAGTAATGGAATGAGTGCAAAGCATTTCACACGTCCACAACATGCCCATGATTGCATACTGCATACACAAAATCTTTTAAACTCGACTTTGATTTAATTGCTTGGAATTGTCCTTTGGTCAGTTGAATGTTAGGACACAAACAGACCTATAGATAAAACAATTGAGTAATAGAATATAAATTATTTGGTACATCGCCTTTTTGTAAATATATTTGCATCACTCATGCATTACCCATACTAAATAGAAATGCTTTCATACCATCCATAATTAGGGACCGGTCATAAAGTATTTACTAGGGGTGTGGAGGATATTTTTTTTTGGGGGGGTATGAAAAAAACCCAGAACCTCTGAAGGGGTACGAAAAAAACAACAGAATCTCTAGGGGGGTACCAAAATCTTAGTACTATAGGTATGGAAAAAAATTAGTACATCATGAGATACTTGCCATTTCTGATTCAACATCATAATCTGATGATGATCTTGGAGTTGATGCTCCACTTGAAGGCCTTGAGGGAGTCAATGTGCTGCTTGAAGGCCTTGAGGGAGTCAATGTACTGCTTACAGAATACATCTTGCCATTTTTTAACAGATGTACCTGTTCTTGTAAATCTGCTACAATGTCTGTTAGACAGGGCATCACTAAAAAGGTTGCAAAAATGAGAAAATTGCAAATTCTGTGGCAACACTACATTTATGCCCCTTAAACTATTTCGCTTTACCACAAGACACAGACCTTTGTCAGCATCTGTGAAGCATGCATGTTAAAGGCAGCCTTTTGAATAATGGTTGTTAAGCCACAATAATATAGAATCAAGTGTAAATGACATCACATAAAATAAGTTACCAAATACTGTATACATTTGATTTTCAAAGATTTAGAGCTTGTTTGTTAAGAAAATAAAACTTGGAAGACTTAATATTTATTATGCAAGATTTGGAGAAAAAAATGTCTGCCGTATAATTAATTTAAATTTATTGTAATTACTAATAATAGTAATTTAATGTGTATTTTAAAAATTATGTGTATTTAAAAAAAGCAATACATTACTATACCTTTGAGGTTGCATATCACAAGCTTCAAACGCTCAATTTCTTTTTGTTTCTTCTGCAGTTCCTGCTGAAGGCTGAAGTTTTCTTTTTTAAAAAAATTCAACATCATTATCCTCAAGTTGGGAAAACACCTTTGAAAATAATGACAAAAGATAACATTGAGATACAAATTGATAGAAATGTTCAACAATGATATTCTCTAATATATATGTACACAGTAGAACCCTGCTAACTCAAACTCGCTTAACTCAAACTCCTCACTAACTCGAACAAATTTCATTTCCCCTTGGTCAAATTTATATTCAATACCGACCCCTTTAACTCAAACCCCCGCTAACTCGAACAATTTTTCGTTCTCCTTGGGAGTTTGAGTTAGCGGGGTTCTACTGTATTTATAGATTGAACTGTACAATCTGAAGATTGCGTGCATGTCTGCATTGACTGCAATGTATAATAAAAACTGTAACTATGTAGATGCAGACTGCAATACAGGTTGTTACACATTGAGGAAAAATTGCACAGAACACTTCTGTACCCCAGAGAAACTAAGTTGCATTTTTTTTCAATGTCCCTGGTAAGGTCTAAGAATTGTATAATTGCAGTATATAAACAACAATCAACATGTGTGCATATCTGGATATGTTAGTGTTGCAGTGTTGTACCAAAAAAATATATAATAAGTCTGTTTACTCTGTTTGAGATGATACTGACTATAGGATGCTTTTTGAGGTTAGCAAAAATCTACATATTATGTGCTCTACAAGTCTACAGTACAGTATGTATATGATATTGAGGCAATTGCATGAGCACTCTTTGCATTTTGTTTACCAAAACCTACACATGCACACACACAAACATAAAAAATACAGTATGGATCCAGACCTCTCAACTCACACGATTTCGTCATGTGACACACGATTTTAAGCCTTATCTCATGATCTCACGCCAAGGCATTGTTTTCACACGACTATAGTCTATAGGTACTGGTCTAACGCATTGAAGAGGTCTAATGTTCAGCAATTTATCCAGGGATTGCGTGGTTGTATTTTTAACCGCTAAACTAGAAGTTCTTTTGTTTCTTTTTCGTAAAACACTGATATGCACTATTGCGCTAAATTTAAGTAATTTTCCCGAAAAGACAATCGCGATTCGCGCAAAAGTGTGTTCCTTTGTTGCTATGAGA